CCCCAAAACCCCAAAACCCCAAAACCCCTCTATCAAGCATTAGTTTTATAAGTCAGAAAAAATAATAATTATAAAAATGAAGAAAAATCTTTAAATTCAAATAGAGGAAGAGGAGGAAAAGAATCAAAGTCCCTCACCAGTAAAAACCTAAAATAGAAAATCAACTCTATATGGTTCTTAACAAGAATTGCTGAATCAATAAAGATTGTTGAGAGAGCAGTAGAATTTATTAAATTAGATTGAAATAAAGACAGTAGTTAAGCAAGATAAAGATAAGGAGGTGTTTATCACTGATGCAGAAGATATAGATTTCGACAAACTTAATGAGCAAAACATGCAAGAAATATACAAGGAGTATATGACTGAAAATTAAGTATTTAATATTATATTTGATAATTTATTTCTTATAGGGTTCAGGAGTAGATGAAATTATATAGGAAGAAGTCAGTGCATAGACTGCTTATAATTTCTTTAAAAAGCAAGAGGATGAGGTATTTGAATATCAACCTAATGGACTAAATGAGGAGCCATATTATCTTTCTAATGCTAAACTTGAAATACCTTCATAAAGACTATAAAGACTACGAGAAGAATTAGATTCTCTAGAATAAGAACTTAGGATACTTGAGAAAGAAGAAATCCCCATAAAATTTTAAGATATCAGTGAGTCATAGATGCAGCTCAATGAGATAGAGTTCTTAAAATCTTAAATCTAAGATTTGGTTCTTTCTGATGCATTTAAGAAGCTAGACGCAAAGACATTTATTGACGATGTGTTTGAAGATCATCAAGAGGAAAGGCTAAAAATCGCTGTTGGCAACATCCTTGCAAAAAGTGTGAGTCTAAATTAAGATAATCTATCAACCAAGACTACTTTAGGAGGGGAAATAGAGCTAAATGTGGGGCTTCCAGACTTGACAGATTTATAAAAGGAGTCTTTGAAGAAATATTAATAGATTGATAACTAGGTAGATCAATGTGAGAAGATTATAGGTTTGTGGAATCCGATAAATAAGTTCATGAATATCTATTCAATCCTGGAATTGCTTTGTGATAAAGTTGATATGCTAGATTCAAAAAGTATTGAATAAATTGGTTCAAAAGCTAAAGAGTTAAACAAAGAACTAGAAACTACTGTTTCAAGACTATTCTCGATGAGAGATATGGATTATGATAAGAACAAGATTGATTACCTCTACTTTATGACTGAAAAATCGATTGAGTTATTTGATCATGCTTAAATTATCATTGAAAGATTAGCTGCACTTGAGAAAATTCATCAAAGTAGTCCAGATATGGCTATTCAATTTGAATCGGTTAAAAAGAATCTCCCTGAACTGGACAAATAACTTGAAGAGGAGTCTAAGATGATAACTGAGGTAAAATAAGAAATGATCAAGTTTGTGACAGATATCTAGGAATAGTTGAAATCGTTTAATCCCTCATGATTTTTTCTAGAGAGTTATCTTAAATTAAACTTTAAGTAGTCAATTAATGTATTAGATAATTTCATCTTCAAATTTACAATCAATTAATGTCTTGCTCTTTATTTCGGATTATTGCTGTAATCAGAGATTCTGTTAATTTTTGCCTTTAATTGAGTCTAATGAGATTTAGACCTATTTTTTCCCAGTTTGCCTTATTATGCTCTTAGAGAGCGCTTCAAATTTTATCTGTAAATCCTAATAATCTCTATTTAAATCTGCCAACCTTTCAACTAGCCAACCATTATCACTCTTATATTTATTTAAAAGGTAGGTAACAAATTCCATATACTTGATTTCTTCGAATTTTTATTCCTTAGCCTTGAATGTTTTATGACTGTCTAAATGATCTATGAATATCTATTTTAGTTTTATCCTTAGCTCTTCTAGTATTAAACTTTTTTCCTCATCGTCAGATCTATTATTCATTTCTTCAATTATAGAATCACCTAAGGCTCTAATTTTATCCTAATCTTTTATTATTCTTCCTAAGCCTTACTCTCTTAATTCATCAATTTACTTTAAATACATTTTCTTCATACTCTCTACCTCTTCTATATGTTGTGTCCTAAAAATTGACATTTGGTTTTCAAATAATTTCTAAGTGTCCTACATCTAATGTTCTAACTATTACTTTTCAGTGCCAAGATGAAAAACTCTCTCATTCAAATCTTTAATTTGTCTTTTCAAATAATTTAGATGAATTCTCTCCTTATTATCATCCTTATCTCTAATAAATAATCTGTATTCAGCCATATAATTCTAAGCTAATTTTAGTGTATCAATCTCTTCAACAGGCAAGTACTCAAATAGCTTTTCTACATTATCTGCCATCCTCATCAAATCACCCACTTCAAGCTCTCTTTCATAGACCTAGTAATCTTGATAGTGAAGTAGCTCCACTGATAATCTCATCATTGCAGAGAATATTTCATATTATACTTGCTTAGGTGGCTGTTCTCCAGCTCTGCGGATGTTTGGATATTTACTCATTGTTACTAATTCATAAAGAATGGGCTTAAAATGAGGCTGTAAAAGTGAATTCAATTCTGCAAAAGTAGTCTACTTTAAGATATTGTACTTGTTGGCTATCTCCTCTGATATTGACATGGAGAAAAATAAATCTAAAACATTTTCTTGAATTAAAAATATAGTACCTTCCAAAATTTTAACTATATTAAGTAGCGGATTTAAGTGAATAGGCATGTTGTGTTCTTAATCTTTAGGATTTGACATTTTCAGTTGAAATTAATTTAATTTTAAAATATTTAAATAGCATTTAATGAAACCTTAGATTGATAAGATCTTCTAGACTGTAAAAATTGATTTCAATCCTGATGTTGAATAAGAAAGAATACTTGGAATGATACCTGAGCCCATTAAATTTCAAGAATTCCCGCAAGAAATAGTAAGACTAAACATTCCAATATTGAAATGCGTAACCTATCAAAACATCTAAGCTATCTCGAATATAAAGCCCTTAAATGAAAGAATATGAGAGTATGAGCAAAAGTAACTTGAAGATGACAACGAGATGAATATACATCCAATAGGCATCATTCCGAGATAGTAGTTCAACATTCCCAACATGAAGAATATTTCTAGATAAAGACCAAGAACAAACTACATGAGAAATAAGAAAAGGATAATCATAGGTCAGCATGACTAAAAGAACTATTAGTCTAATTAAATGAACCAATTAACTCAATACAATATTCCTCCTGATTTAAACAGAACAATGACTCCTAATATTCTAAGTCAAGCTTATGAGATGTCTTAATAGCCTCGATTAGGGCTTAATCATACACAAATCATAGACTATAGCAGTAATAATTCTGGATTTTTTGAATAACGAAAGAATTCTTCTATAGAGAATAAATTAATCAAGTTGCCTAATAATTAAGGTATCTCGCCAATTTAAAGCAATCAAATAAGTAATAATGTAAGCTAAAACAATATTGACTATGTAACCTAGAGATTCAAAGTCGGAAATAATATCAAATAGTCAAATATTAGACAAAGACCTTAGTCTTAGGGCAGACCAAGAACAAGAGTTAATATATAAAATTTTAGGAATTAAAATTTAATGGGGCTGGGAGGGTTTAATGGAGATGATAATAGTGCATAATATTCTAGAAGCAGACTAGATTAGTAAAACTAATTTTAGCCCTAAGTACTAGAGAGCTTCGAAATGAATAAAAATGATTCTTTAAATTTGCTTTGAACATAATAATAATTGTCTAATTTCACTCCCATTTTCTTTCATTCTCACGGGGTTTTGGGGTTTTGGGGTTTTGGGG